AACTGAGAAATCACAATTAGCGGACTGAAAACCATTGGTGCATGTATTTTAAAAGCAGTAGGAAAAATGACAGAATAGCAAATAAATTAAAAAGAAAAGCATTAAGTACTGAATTTGTTTATTTAACCAACTTTTCTTGATCACCTTATCTATTCATAAAAGAGCATGTAGCATTTGTGAACACTCAATGTAGATCAGTAAGTATCTATCATTATGTACAAAATAGACTTAACTTGAAGAGCTATGGGAGCAGATCACTGAAGGAGTCTGGGAAGAATGAGCAGGCAGGTGGCTTATTGGAATCAAATGTCAAAGGATAAGCAAAAGACACCACCCAAGGTGATGCAACCAAAGAGTCTTGGACAATACAGATTGTAGATTTTGAAACCTGCAAGGCTGATTGACTCCAAGGTTACAAGAGTGAAAGGAATAAAATCAAGGGAATCATTTGATAATGTTTCACAGAAAGGAATAGTACTCATTTTTCTCTAGAAGCTGCCTATGGATGCACTATGGGGTAGAATCTCACATTTTCTTTCCTTAGCTGTGGATCCATATAGAGCAGCCGTCCACAAAGATGGTGCATGATCCCCATGGCACATGGCCACAAAACAGAGGGGGCTTTAGGTCACAAAGCAGCCTGTATCACCCCACATACACAGTGTCACCTTCAACGGGAAAACCAAAGACTGGTGATTTGAGGCAAGTAGGTATAATTGGGGCAAATTGTGCTTTTCATATCAGTTATTATCACTCCATATCCCATCACCAGAAGGTAATCTAGTTTTGTGTTCCCCTTTAAACCAAGCTCTTGCTTGATGGGCTATAATCTTCTAGGCATTACCAAAATTGGGGCTTACTATTATAAATATATGTCTTTTATAGCTCAGAAGCATCTCTCAAGGACCTGAGAGCCATTATGAATGAATAGAAGAATAAGACCTCAGTCTCCAAGTCTGAGGACAGAATCCTAACTTTGAAAATTACCAGCCAACAAACAGCTGGTCTCTTTTCATATATTTTAACCAACTCTTTGTACTTTTTGTTTCTCTGACTCTGAGCTTCTGTGCAATCCTTTGATTACTTGCTTTAGTTGACTTTAAGAACCACTTAAAGATCACCAACTAAGCTTTATATTATTAGCCTCCTCCTAGCTTTGCTACCTATAACACCTCAAATGTATGGGTTACAGTGACAACAGATGCCCTGGTTACTTTTCAGGGACTTGAAGGCCATTTTGGTTGAAACTACCAACTCTTCGCTTGGGATTGTGCAGGTTTCTGATGGGTGACCATGAAGCTGGATTAAGCATGCACAGACAACTGACTTTACCACCAATCACCTTTCCCTGCACCTTAAATCACCCTGATTCTTTATCCCATAAATAGCCCCAAACCCTATCCGCAGAGAGGTGGATTTGAGACTTGGGGCTCTCATCTCCATGCTTGGCTGCCTGAAAATAAACTCTCTTTTTCAGAACCTGTTGTCTCAGTGATTGGTATACTGTATGATTGGCAAAACAGGCCTGGTTTCAGTATCACCCTCTAACTCTGCAATGAAGTTTTAATCTCCTTAATGGCCTAAGTTTTCAAACAACAGCTTTTTAGAAGGGTTGTAAAACACTTTTCATTTATAAAACATTCTTCGTTTCAGAAAGATTTCCATTTAAAAAGCACTTAAAGTTAATGTGCTGATGTCTAATAAGTTTAAACTTTCAATTTTCTAGAACTTTCATTCATTTATACAAAACCCTTACTGTGCCAATCTTCCCAGGCAAAATAAAAATGATGTTGCATGGTAATGCCTTCCATTATTTTGTACCATAGTACAGGCACATTAAGGGAAAGTAAATAATTATGAAGATAATCTGGAAAAAATAAGCCTTAATATCCAATTAAATGAAGCAACACTAATAGCTCAGAAAAATGATATCAGTAATCTTTGTCACACTAACCTCCCCTTACTTGTTGGTAGTACTGGTAAGAAGTGAGTGGTAAAGTTATAGACAAACATTATTAGTAATACATTTTCAGACAGATTAAACTCTTCTCAGAAGAACGTATTTCTCAATAGATACACACTTAGAGATAGTCACACAGTCTAATATTAAAATAACAAAGCTGCCTTTTGGAGTGCTCTTTGGAAACATGCTTGGGTTAAGAGAAACAGAAACCTCTGTATGAATCAGATGTACAGTTTAGTAGCCAACATAATTAGCGAAGGCTATGCCAAGTGTTTTACATGTGTTGTTTCACTTAATCATCAAAACAGCCCCAGGAAACAGAACATAATATTTCTATTTTATTGATGAGGAGTCTGATAGGAAAGGAAAAAGTGGACCCAAGCTACCTGATCATGACTGGCACGGCTAGAATGCAACCCAATCAATACGTGTGACTCAATATCCCACCTTCTTTTCCCAAACCAGAGTACCTCACAAACCAGAAGATTTCAGTCAGCCAAATCTTCTATACTAATTCACTTAAGGTATTTGTGATAACTTTTGAGGACAAGAGAGGTGAAAGTTTTTTGGAATACTGAAATTGTTTAGAACCACACAATTGTCTAGAGCTGTGTTGTCCAATGTGGTTGTCATTAGCCACATGTGCTTACTTAATTTAGCTTAACATTAAATGATATTTAATCAGTTCTTCAGTTGTACTACACTATATTTCAAGTACCCAATAGCAGTATGTGGCAAATGGCTACCATAATGGACTGGGCAGATTTTAGAACATTTCTATCTTTGCAGAAAGACTAATTGGATAACACTGATCTAGAGGACCCTCAAGAAACCTGGTCAAATGGGAAATTGGGAAATCTTAGTATCTTTAAGGTTATTAATGTCCAGAATGTTAGAGGTCATCATATACTTTGAGAAGACTTTTCCATCTTCACTATTTGGACAGGACCAGCTTTTTCTCCATAAATTCTCTCCTGTAGATGTACAGTTGGCCCTCAGTATCTGAGAGAAATTAGTTCTAGGACCTCTACATGCATACCAAAATCTGAGAATGCTCAAGTTCCTTGTATAAAATGGGGTGGTATTTGCACTGAATCTATGCATTCGACTACATACCTCAAATCGTCTCTAGATTTCTAATCCTAATACACTGTAAATGCTATGAAAATAGTTGTTATACTATATTATTTAGAAAATAATGACAAGAAACAGAAGTCTACATGTTCGTACAAATGCAATTTCAAAAAAATATTTTTTGTTGTTTTTTTTTCTTTTTTTATTGGTTGTTCACAACATTACAAAGCTCTTGACATATCATATTTCATACATTAG